ACGAGCTCGAGAATTTAAAGCGGCAGACACACGTCCGCTTAGAATAAACAGACGATATTGTTCGCTGGTGTGGACGCTAATATCGTTATCTTTATAGTTATCTTTATAGTTATCGTTCTTGGTGTGAACGGGGCTTTAGAGGAATACATTTTGTCATTATTCTGTCATCATTTACTTACTCTCATGCCATTCTTAGAGGCCGTTCACACAGAATGTGTTTTTTCATTGCAATGTGCTATTTTTCCATTGCTTTTCTATGTAAACACACTAGACGTGTATGACTGTTGCGCTCACGTCTCGCGTTCTTTACACGTCTCGCACATGAGCGGCGCATTTTTAATACGCCATGTCAAGATGACAGAATTTCAACTTTTACATGAAGCGCCGCTCATCAATGTCAGTTCCAAAACAGTGGACCAATCAGAAGACCCAAAAGGCGGGGCTAGTGTTGCAAGCTTTTGTTAAGAGCAGCAAGTTGGCATGGCAACTATTTATTTGACAGCAACATAGCGGAGGAGGCACTGTTATTGCATCACGTCTCAAGACCCTCGCACACTTGCATTTTTAGATGCATTCTGTGTGAACGACCCCTTTAACAATCTGCTGTCTCTCTGTGGGACACAAAAGTAGAATAAGGTTTGAATTTTAGAGCTTGACAGTATAAATCACCATCCATTTTGTTCATATTTAAAACAGAACCTCTGAGGTTCTGTCTACCATCTCCTTTCACGTTTCAAAGAAGAAAGAAAATACACAAGAGTGAGTAAATGTTCATATGATTTCCTTTTTGTGTGCACTTTTACTTTAAAAGGTGGTGTAACCTAGTTAAAGAGCAAGTGACCTTGTGGTTAGAGCATGTGAAGAGTGCTTATATGTACTTGCATGTAGAAACATGGTTCAGAGTCATTCCATTTTAACTCTTTATGCATTTAATATGGGGGGGGTGCATCGGACTCAGTGTTATTTTATTATTAATTAGACTCTTATTGTTATTATTTTGAATTATCTTTTATTTTATATTTTAAATATTAAGTTTTAGAAATGTAGTTTTTTTTCATGTGTTTTTTAATATTTCTATTTAGCTTTAATTTTATTTTTTTAATTAGAATTTTACTAATTTTAGTACTTCAATTTTAACTTATTTTCAGTTAGTTGCCAAGACAATTTCTCATTTTTATTTGTTCATTAAAGTGTTCAATTTTTAGTAGTTTTAGTATTAGTCTACAATTACACCACCAATCTGGCTAAGCAAAAGGGCAAGAGCTGATCCAAGAGCTTTTACCATTGTGTTCTTCTCCCTGTAACAAATACACTAAGTCGCTTTGGTTAAACGCACCGCCTAAATAACAATCAGTCATTATCGTTTTGGGTAGATTCTGTTCTCTCCAGACACCAAACTAGTCACTAAGCAGCCCCTCCTCGGTCGTCCCACTCCCAGAGTTCAGTGTGAATGTGCCGTACGCATCAATCAAGCACTCTTCTTGGATCAGCCCTGTGAATTTCACACGTTGTTTCCTCCCGGCTCAGATCGGTCTTTGTGTCTGCTCCCAGACCGGTGTTCCCTCCTCTCAATCTGGATACGTGATCCTCTTCAAGCCCACTCACGACAGGAACGTACCGACATGAAGAATGAAGCGAAGAGTCTATTTGTGCCGAACCTGAGCTTCCTGGCATGCCGGCGTGGGAAGAACGGATCAAGGGACGCACGGCTCCGCAGATTACACGGGCCGATTAGAAATGCTAAGTGCGTTTTGTCGTATCATATTTCAGTGGGACGGAGCAGGAAGCACTGAGGAAAACCGGCAGCTTTTCCGCACTTCTGCAGCCACCACCGTGCAACCTGATCCATCTTACGCATCCAGACAGCGTACGTGTGTGTGTGTGTGTGTGTGTGTGTGTGCGTGCCCGAGAGGGGCACTTGGAGTTTAATGGATTTAAGGTCTGTCTCAGCGAGTATCCTCCTCTAGGGATGGTTTGGTTTGGTTTTTGGGGTGGAGTTATTGGGGGAAGCTCAACTTTTCTTACTCAACTGTTTTGAGCTTTTCAACAGGAAGGGACGGTGGAGGACTGTAATATTGGGGAGAGACTAACTAAACGTCAGGACGTGACTAGCTTGAGTACATTTTCAGTTGCATGACAGCACTTCTGTTTTCAAAATACTAATAATAACTAGCTGTTTTTTTGTTGTTTTCAAGAAGCAGCAGTACAGTGCAACAAAATGCATTTTTTCTGTTTTTATACAGTAAAATTATGTAACTGAATAATTTGTATCATCATGCAAATGTGTTCCTGAAACTCCCTTCATACAAAATACATTTTTAGTTATGCAGTACTGTCAGTAAGATATTTTGATTTTTGAAAGAAATTAATACTTTCATTCAACAAGGATGCATTAAATCCATAAAAAGAACAGTAAAACATTTATAAGCTTGCAAACAAATTTATCTTTCAAATAAATGCTGTTCTTTTAAACTTTCTATTTAGTTGCTTATTAATATGCACATTACTAGCATATTGGCTGTTTATTAGTACATATAAAGCACATATTCTGCATGACCACATCTTTTAATTCTAACCCATACCTAAACTTAACAACTACCATACTAACTATTAATAAGCAGTAATTAGGAGTTTACTGAGGTAAAGTTGTAGTTAATATGTATGTGTGTGTGCGCGTTAATAGTGAGAATTTGGCCTTAAAATAAAATGTGACACTGAAGACTGGAGTAATGATGCTGAAAATTCAGCTTTGATCACAGAAATAAATTACATTTTAACATACATTCAAACAGAAAACTGTTATTTTAAACTCTAATAATATTTCACAATATACTGTATTTACTGTATTTTTGGCCAAATAAATGCAGCCTATAAGAAACTAAATTTGATTGACTGCTCCATACTTTTGAACGGTAGTTCAGCACATTATTACACATTATACTGATCAATCCTACCTTATCATTTATGGTCGTCCACAATATTATCAGACAATCATAATATTGACAAGCATTTTTCAATCACTTTAATTTAACTATGTATTTAAAGAAAAACACCAGATAAAAATACTTTGCAATGTCAAACCTCAATCCTGCTCACATAAGAATAAAATCAACTTGATTCAGACCACTATAAGAGCGCATTTCACTGAAAGTCACACCGTTGGTGAAACAGACTACTTTATCAAAAGGGCAGTCCGACTGTATTTGAACTACTTTAAATTATGAGCAGCTTGTATCTTGGCAAGCTTAGGTTTCGAAGCAGCTTCCCTAACACTGGTGGGAAATAAGAGAGAAGACTCTGGCAGGCCCGCTGAAAGGCCTCCAACAGACGTGAGCGCAGAGGAAAGAATTTTTCCCCCAAATCTGGCACTTTTTTCGCCTATTGGTCCTTCGCCTGACTGACTGACTGACTGACTCGCAGACACCAGGTGCTGGGGGAAACAGAATCGCTAATGCACCTGGAGCTTTTTTACGGCAAAGACAAGATCGCTGGAGTTTGACCGCATGCCTGAAACACACAAACTCTATACCCACCAACCTTTCTTTTGTTTTCAATTCCTGTTTTTTTTCCCCCTTTGAGAAGTGGTTTGGGTTACTTAAATTCCCAGATATTGGCATATGGAAAAAATCTACTTGTCAAGCGTGCCGGTGGTCTTCTCATCTTTGGGTTATGTAATATTCATAGTGCAAAAAGTCAAAAGAAAAAAAAAAGTGAACTCAAACAAGGAGCAAAGGGATCAAGGGGACTCAGAGTCTGCGATCAGCCACAAACTAGGGTAGCGTACAACGGGAAATACCATAAATTGTTTTGATTGGCCCGTAGGATTGCATATATCCACACACATGGATACACAAACCAGGATTTTTGGATAATTGCATCTTCATTTCAAAGGGTAAACTACAAATCCAATAATGCAATATGCTTAGACAAAACTTCCCCACCCGGAATATGAAAACCTGCAGGAGCTGGAGACGCTCAGAGCCTTTGAGGCCGCTTTCAAATAAGCGAATTCCTTTCGGCAAGAAAAATCCATAATCCTGGCAAAGAAAGGCCCAAGGGGCTGGAAAATATGCATGGCATTATTAATGTACGTGAGCAGGCCAACAGAATTCTTGCTTTCTTTCTGGTAGTATTTCAACAGCAAAGCAGCACGGTCCAACAGGAGTTTACCGCCGTTTACCAGCGCGATAAAGGCATTAAAGAACAAAACTGAGCAGCTGAGCTTTCTCTCTCCCACCGTCTTTCAGCGCTGTTAAGAGGATGAAGACATCAAAGAGTTACACAGAGTCATAAACGCTGCTATGAAACACTTGATTTACGGACTTGACAACTCTTGAATCTTAAGCAGTCCTGGAGGAAAGAGGAAGATGGGGTACACGTGAGAATCGGAGCGTGAGATTATGATAACAGACTCCTAGAGCGCAGCGGTTCACAACTGCTGGGTCTTGACCCAAAAGAGGTTCACAGGTTTGGTCCGAAAGGGTCACCGAGATCAAATGCGAATCATAAAATGCAACTAAACATATTATAGTTAGAAGTAAAAGCAATCAACTTCTAAAATGTTTTGCATAAGCTTCATCTTTTGGTGTCAACGTATGGTTGTGTGTCCAATCTAAAAACACTACATAAACAGTTTTTTGGCACATTTTTTATCTGTCACTTGGTAGAAGCCACCCACATTTGGCAGATGCCCACATGGACAGGTTTTGTTTATGATTGTAGGATATCTAAAATGTGTGTGTCTTGTTAAACCATTTGAGAACCACTATTCTGGCACAGAGAAAAAGTGAAGATCTCTTGATGAAATAGAGGTTAAGCAGTTATTCCACAGCATATATAACTGACTGCATAAATTGACCACTTTTCCCACTTGCATCCATAATTTGACAAAATTAAATCCCGAAGAGCTCTGAACCGAACTAAAGTGACCTCTAAATAAATGGGCTTGCCACACTTGACACGGTTAAGCCCACCACATTTCAGCGCAGAGATAGTCTCACCTTGGATGGTTTGGCAGAATTTCGGGCCGCTCTCTTCAGCAGTAGCAGGTCCATCCGATGAAGAATGCTTTTCCCGGATCACTCGGTGTTCCCAGCCAGAGAAGGAATCCGCAGCCTGGCCCACTGGCTCGATGAACAGTCTTTCCTCTTCAGTCTGAACCAGGCCAGTCTGCGAGAAAACACATGAGGAGGAACAATCAATGACGGCACATAAGAAAGCCTTTATCTGGATAGCATTTGTAACTTTGGAGCAAGGCAATCTGTGAAATAATGTTCTGAATGCTCAGAACTGTCCAGTAAGATATTAAAAAAGAAAGTCATGTTTCTTTAAAGAATGTTTTTCAATGAATAAATAAAAATAAAGAGAAAATAAAGAGAAGTAATAAAACTATATTTTAATTATTTTATCATTTTTTGTCATGTAATGTTTATCATGTAATCTATTACATGTATATCTATTATGTATATATAAATACACACACATGCATATATAAAAATATGTTATGTTTATATAGTAAATATATTTATATATAATATAAATATAAACATAAATACATGTAAATATTTTCAAAATATATACTGTATGTGTGTGTCTTTATATATATCAATCAATCAATCAACATTTATTTATACAGCCCTTTACAACACTCAAGGTGAACCAAAGTGCTTTCCAAAAAAAACAGAGCAATAAAAACAAAAATATAAGGCAACAACAAAAATTACATAAAATACACAAAAATGTCGCAACATTGCTAGATATTAAAAGCCAGTCTAAATAAATAAGTTTTAAGCCTAGCTTTAAAAAGGCCCAGGTCAGTAATGGTGCGCATATCAGGGGGAAGCTTATTCCAGAGTCTGGGCCCAGCTACAGAAAAGCCCAGTCACCCCAGTATTTGTACCGTGACCTTGGCTAAACCGCCTCTAGTGCGCGTCTAAACGTCCCGCCCCTCACCTCAGCGGCATGTGCTCCGGTTGTATTGTAAACAACGGCGTTGTTAATATCGCTTATCAGTTTGAGCCCGATTGAAAAGCAGAGGATATTATTGAAGAGGATCGTGCAGAACCTGTGCAAGCGCGGCTTTTAATGGTAGGCCTATGTTTTTTGTTTGTTGTTGTCTCATACTTTTAGATACGCTGTTATTTGTAAATGCTACTGCTTATGTTAGCTTTTAATATACAGTTTTATCCTGTTTTTTTTTTACCTGAAAAACCAAAACAGAATTTTTTTTTTCATTTAGCAAGAAACCAAAACCAAAACTAAAGTTAATGTAATAATCAAGTAATTACATTTATTTAATAATCAACACTCAATTAAAAGTACATATAGAGTAGTATATAAAATTATATAAATGACATGATTATGTTTCTACTCTAATTTGTTGAAATATAAACATTTAAAAGGGTGGTTCACTGGTTTTTTTCTAGGCTTATAATGGTAGGCCTATGGCTCGATTGAGACGCAGAGGATATTATTGAAGAGGATCGTGCAGAACCTGTGCAAGCACGGCTTTTAATGGTAGGCCTATGTTTTTTGTTTGTTGTTGTCTCATACTTTTAGATACGCTGGTATTTGTAAATGCTACTGCTTCTGTTAGCTTTTAATATACAGATTTATCCTGATTAAAGCTTTAACACAGTACGGCAACTGCACGCGCGTCCATGTTTAACGGGGTTTATCTGGGTTTGTGATGTCACGAACCCGAGAAGTAACTCGTTGTAGTCCCTACCAGCCGTTTTTGTAGGCATTAAACTGCCAGAATTTTAAAAGATGATATCTCCGTTTGCATTGAACTTTCAGCTTCGTAACTTTGCAGATATTGTTTATGCTCAAACAGCAACATTACACTAACGTTTAAAAAAGTTTGTAATTTTCATGTTGCACTACTTCATTAAGGAATGATAGTGAGACCTCTTACTAGTGAGTTGTCTGACAGACTCCACTTTATTAATAAAAAAAGTGAAGAAAATTCTCACAAGTGGAGATTGAGGCATCAATCAGAGGACAGGTGCGTGGGTTCACAACAGAATTAATTGTGTTAAACATCACCCTGGGACAATGCCCACTGTTGGTGATAATATCAGACAAAATGTTGTCTTTGCCTCCTTCACAGCCCTCTGATAATCAGAAAGACAGCCCCTTAATATTTCCAGAGACACATGTAATTTGTCCTTCTTCCATCTCCACTCTGCCTGTCTACAACATTGCCTAAGGGCACGGTGGCATCATTTATCCAGGGATCTGCTCTTAGCTTAGGAGATCTGCACTTATAAGGGGCAATAGAGTCCAAGATTCCGGAACAAGTGGAGTAAAAAGATCAGGGCATGCAGGAGAGACAGATACATGGAGGGCACAAAGTTTAGAGTCCATAAAAGCAGCAGTAAACTCTTCAGCTGTTGAGGAGGTGAGAACGCAACGATGTCACGGTGAAGCAGGAGACCTGCTGGCTGTTGATGGTGGGACTGGAAATTCAATAATAATAGGGAAGTGATCGGAGATGGCAGTCTCAGATATTTCAGTAAGGGAGATAGAGAGCCCATGAGAAATAATAAGGTCCAAAGTGTGTCCGATAAGATGCGTGGGTCGATCCACTAACTGAAATAAAAAGATGTCAGGAGTCATTTAAAATCAGTGGCCAACTGATCAAATGGACAGCAAACATGGATGTTAAAATTCCCACAAATCAGGAGTCATATTTAGGGACAACATCAGCTAAAAACTCAACTCTTGCTATATTTAGGTGGGCGGTAAACAACAGCACATAACACAGGGCATGTAAACTCAATTAAAATATATACATAAATATACACCAGTACACACACATTATATAAACAAACTGCTCAGCACTATTTTTGTGTGTATGTGAGAGATCTGGAAGGAGGGCCCAATCGCAGAGTGAGTGACAAGGGTTTATTACAAAACAGAGAGATACAAGAGGGTAGTGAAGTGTGCTGGTGATTCAATGGCAGGGACACAATTAACAGAGAGAAACAGCTAGGGAGGACCACTGGAACTGCCTTGGATATCAATTGGGAGAATAGCAGCAGAGGAAGCAGCAAGACCAAGCAAGGCACCACTCAGATACTTGTTGACCGCGCAGACTCTGAAGCAGACCAAGCACCAGGCAGGGAGAACCAGTGGCAGGAACAGGTCAGGACAGGAATTCTAACACCACAAAGAGACAAGACAGGACAAGGCTCCACAGGAACACAAATTACTCCAATGCAGGCAGGGGGATAAATAAAACAAAAGAACTGATAAAAAGTAAAAGTAACTAAATAAAAAAAAATGTAAAAAATAAATAAATAAAAAAAAACAACACACACACACACACACACAACTAACTTAAAGAATATCAAACAAAAGCAAAACAAAAGATCAGGACTAGAAGAATTGAACAAATACTAAAATAAAAGGCAAAAAGCAAAAACAAACAAAATGCAAAAACAAGGAGCAAGACAAGAACATGGAACTACAAAGGACTAGACAAGACAAGGGCACAAGACCAACCAGGCAGGGGAGACAGGAACACATACTCAGCCACATTCACAGACAAAGACAGCGAGGGTGAGAATGACCACAAACCGGCAAAGACAAGAGGGCAAGGGAAACTATAAATAGGGAGGAAGGCACACGAGGAACAGGTGAGAACAATTAGACCAACAATGGCTAACAACAGGGTGTGGTAAAGAGGAAACAAGGAGGAGGGGCTAGAGAAGCACACGGCTGAGAAAAACCATCAACAAAGCCATGTGCTGACACAAGACAACATAGACACAGGAAACAAACACAAGACAAACGGAGTGTCCAGGCAGAACCCATATATATATATATA